CCCGAATAAACTGTTCTTAAATATGTTGACGTATCCAAAGACGGAAGCTCCTTTCTTCATATTATGGAACAATCACATCAAAATGTTATTTAAAACTGAATGTCACCACCAGCTGCTTTTACGAGTAATATGAAAGTCAAAAGTAATCACACTATTTAAAGTGTCATTAAGTTTGTTTGCATTTTTTCTGATTAAACTCATGCTAAAATGACTGACGTACAGTGACTGAAAGATGATGTTACGTTTTAGCTTGGTGAAGTCTCTTCAAAAATGAGAGAACGAGAACATGAGACATTCTGGGAGACAGTGTTTTAGTTTTTCAAAAAAGGCAAAGGTAGGGAGATGAAGTGTCGAGTGGAATCCACGGCTCGTACAGCCCACAGATCCCACTCCCACTGGTCATTTTCTGCATTGCATGTAATTAATGACCCCTCTGTTTTTATTTTCCTTTCCTATGTCTGCTCTTAATCTCTGGCACTTTCTGTTCTTATGCGAACCGAGGTATTGTTCCAGCACTTCTTTCTGTCTGAACTGAGGCATATTCTCCAATAAATCAGGCTACATACCTCATTGGTCCTGAAGTTCGTTTGTTGCAGCGCCTTTCAAGTCCACTGAATGCGAAGATCTTTCCTGTTATCACTGGACGCTAAATGACCTTTGAAGACTGAGAAATGTTTGATGTAAAGTATTTGCCTGCATGAGACCCACAGCGCATCTCATGCAGCCATGTTCTGTACGGCCACCCATCTGTGATAAAATTTTATTAGCATGTTGAAATTAAGGATGGTGGGCTGGGCAGGGTGTGTAGCACGCATGGGGAAAGATAGATGCATATACAATTTTGATTCGGAAATCTGTAGGGAAGAGAAGTAAACATAGATGAGAGGACAGATCTGAGATCTGTTTAGGATGGGAGGGTGTGAATTGGATTCATCTCTCTCAGGATAGGGAAATTTGGCGGGTTCCTGTGAAAAGTGTAATGAACTTCTGGTTTTGTAAAAAGCGAATGACTTCGTAACTAGTTGAGTGAATATAAGCTGTTGAGAACTCCGCTCCATGGAGTTAGTCGAGCCGTTTCTGATACATTTTAGAAATTTTGTTTTGGGATTTTTCACTAATACGAAACAAAATTAAATTCGTTCAGTGGTTTTGGAGGTGAAGCAAGCGGATAGGCTGGCGGACATGATCTCATGTACTCTGTAAAGTACGAGAGCTGCTGGCAATCCGAGCATTCGTGGGTTGTGAAACTCCCTTGAACCCACTGACGAGCAATGAACCGAAGTTTATTTTCGGAGTTTAGACGCTGTTTGAGATCAAAAATCTGCTTAGAACTGGGCACATGCCGTGTTTCAACTACACACCGTGTCGTTTTTAAGACATGGTTTCTGAAACTACGCTCCATAGAATGGATTGTGGGTACATTGCTTGCTCATTGAATAAGTTAAATTTGTTTGAATTACAATAAATAAAATGACATCGTCAGAAGTATGGAAACTCAGAATCGCAAATATTTTTATCACAATGTTACCAGTTGTAATACATCACAGACAATGAACAGTGTTCAGTGTAACAAATCTTTATTCTTGGTGCATTTAACGACGTTTTGTCAACTGATTAGATCATGCGGCGTCTTATGATAGGACGATGGTGAATGATGAATTGGAATAGAAGCAATCATGGCCTATTTTGGCGCATTATTCCGTCATATGCCTTTAAGGACTGAGGAAAGCTACGAAAGGCCTTCGGGCACAGATTTGAACCTGTTAATTAATTTCAGACGCTCGTTATGTAGTAGCCTGCAATGGCACGAAGCTTTCCAAGATATTTCATATTATAAATAAAGTGTACTATATAATAATATTTTCCTTACAAATATATTTCTTGGTTTACATAACCACGGCGTGATCACTTGCTTTGAATGTAATACGTTCATAAGGCTTTTCTCCGGAGGCTTCTCCATTCAATGAAAGCATCTAAATGAATAAACGATTCCTGCAACAACAACAATGCAGTCTTTGCATTTTCTATCATTCATTTGCCTTCATCTTCATATATTACAACTGTAAATATATTTCTCATAAAGCTAATTAACAACTCTTAATGAATTCACATATCAATTTTAGGTCGAATAAATGAAGTTGCGTGAACAGTTCCTTCAGACATAATTTTTATTTTCATTACAACCTCACAACTGGCATTTTAATGATTCTTGCCTGCATTTCGTTAAAAAATATATTTCAAACAAGTTACAGATCTCAACGAGTTTTGTACGTTGTTTCACGTGCCGTTCCACGTTGCACAGTAAGCGACCTGTGTGTGATTGGTCCTGTGAACAAGACTTTTTTTCTCCAGTCCCTACCCAAAAATGTGTGGCTACTGACATGTGGTCAGATTTTAGGGTTACCTGTAACACCTATTTCGGAGTTCTTAACATCAGTGGGTGGTTTACAGCTTCTAGTCTCAAAATGTTTGGGACAGCATGGACATGACGGAACGTAGTATTGTAGTGGTTAGCGTTTAGTTTGTGTTTGGGAGGTCCCGATTTGATGTGTCTGCCCCGCAGGCTATTTGATACAGGTATTTTGTGACCTTTCTCTATACCTATAGGATAACAATAGTATTAAAATATATTAAAATTGTCCGTCAATCACAATAAAGTAATATAAGATAATTAGATGGTTAAAATATTATCTTTTGTTCCGTATCGAGTACTCGATTTACATATGGAACATTCTCGACATGTTTCGGCTTTCATAGAGCCGTCATCAGGTGTATGTTATAAACTCTTAATTCAATTACTAATTTTTAATTTTCTTATCATTTCTTCATTTTTCACATTGTATCAACATTTGTTGTTGTATTATATATCATTGATACAATCGTATTGTCGGAGTGATGTTAATGCTGCGTATATTGGTCTGTGAATTAAAGGATTCAAACCATTAATGGAATTGAATATAGAAAACAAAATAAATAATGAAAGTAAACGTATAAACTTACCAGAGAAGTAATATCGAAGTTGTAAGAGGAGAGATCAGAAGTACATCGTATCGGAGCGAGGTTGGTTATTGACTGCTTATATTACTTTATTGTGATTGACGGACAATTTTAATATATTTTAATACTATTTTTAAATAAAATCACAATATGACGCACCTACAATATCCTATAGGATAACGTTGAAATAATATGTTAAAAGGGGCCACGGCTGTGTACTTCCACATCCTTCCTTATTTAGTACACAATCATCATCCCATTCGACGCTGTGTAACACATACAGTTGAGAAAAGCCTATAAATAAATGAACGGACATACTTCTGTTGTTCTTGTCCTTAGGTTTTCGCGGCTGAAATTCAATGTACAACTTCGTCTTTTCGTGATTAACGGCGTCGAATGTTGAAAATTATCCGACGTTTCGGCAAATATTGTGTATTTACCCCGAAGTTGGCAATTGCAATGTTTGCCGAAACGGATAATTTTCAAGACTGCACATACTTCATTGTTGTATTTATTATGTCCCTGGTTTGTACAGCAGTGTGTACTGTACTTTCTGTCAGCTCTCTATGCAGTCTTCCCGACATTTATTGGATAATTGCTGTCGACAGGATGTTGGTGGGAGAACAGGCATTCATACGCTCTGTCTCTCTTACTCAGACTTCTGAAATCTGAATCTTACTCGTTCTACAACTTCGGTTTCCGTAGATTATTTAATGACAATCTTTCATTTGCAGAAAAATGTGACGGTGATGAGCCCTATTCGTTTGTTTCTTGCTAGGCCTATATAAAATCGCACATTTTTAACTGTGCTGAAAGATGATCGTGAATTGGTAAAGATGTGGAAGGAAGCTATCGTCGTTTATTTTAAGGTACTTTTTAGATTATGCCTTGAGAGCCTGAAGAATATCACACAGTCAATCAGGATAGCGGGCCTTCCAGTTGAGAATCAAACCTGGGTGTCCGTAAATGGTTAGTAAGGGTGCTAACCACTAAAACATGACGTTCAGAATTATGAGGAAGGTATCTATCGCTGCTTAAATGAAGATAATTCAATGCAATTGTGAACGAACTGAACAGTATTACACTGCCGTGATTTGTTCAAAGCTTTTCCCAAACTTTACTAGGAAAGAGAGTAATGACGAAAAATCTCAAGCAATACAGATTTGAGCCGTATGCGAGTTAGACCTGTGTGCAAACACATTCTAATTGATTGAGTGTTCGCTTATTTTACAATATGATATCTGCTGTTGATATTATTTAGTAACTTATCGACAGGATGTTTACAAATAATGAAGCACGATGATTGTGGAAAAATGTCATGTCCTGTGTCAATATTTTATTGGATGTACTGAGAAGACCCACGAGTAAACCTCATACGCCAGTAGTAGTAGAGAGCAGCAGGATATGTCTCCCGCGTGAACCAACGGTCTCAGTGCCAACTCTGCGCGCTGCGGGAGTCCGCAGTATGCTTCTGAAATATTCATCCGTAACGACTGCCATGTTTTGATATTACATTTAATATCAGGTTTTTGTGATGTTTATGACTCTTCGGTTCCCATATCAAGGACTTCTCTGTCAGATTGATCAAGGACGTCCATACCATACAGTTAGTGTTACTCACAGATGAGACCCCGCACTACACATGGTGGGGAAGGCCCGTTGAAATTCAACAGGGAATTAATTCTTTTGTTTCTTCATACCTTATCATATTATGTTTTCATTTATCTCTTTCGTACCTTTATTTCCTTCAGACATACATCTAAAAATACTTCTAAAATCTGTCTAATGGTAACATACCATCTAGTACCATTACTGAGAACATTGTTATAACACACAATGTTAAGTGCACAATCAATCATGAACAATCATAAACCATATCCTATGTGTCTTTGTCTTGTGTGTGTGTGTAAATGCGTGCGTAATTAAGCCTGTTTCAGCTTTTACATTCGAATTGTCCGCCGTTTCTCCGTAGATGGCAACAGCATAGAGGTAGGGAGAAACAAAAACGTCCCCACAAAGCGCGGTGCAAGACACTAGCAGCAGACGAAGTTGGAGGGTTGAAGAGTTTTGTGTGAAAGGGGTGCTTTCTTATTCACGAATATGAACGTGTTTTTGTAAACAAGTATTGGTAGTTGTAGCGATTAGTACAGGATCGAAGGAGTCCTATATGAGGATCAGTGTTGAGAGCACTTAGGAAGCATGAATTTGACAGATTAAGGAAAGTCGGTGGGCGTGTTATCTTATCAGCCACACTGAAACCCGTTTGTGGAATAAATTATTCAGACGCAACACTTACTGCATCTATTACTAATAGATAACGTAACAATTCTTTACGGCTATATATTACATTGACATAGTTTGGAAATGTTCTGATTTGAAGTGCCTGCGTGTGTAAAACTATTTACAGATATGAGAATGATGGAACAGTAGACCAGTGAGGTGACCATGGGCAAGTTGTTGAGCCTTCTGGCTCGCGATGATTCCAATTGCTGCTCTCCTCAGAAGTACGACGTGTTTCTGGACTTTGAAAGTGAGTGGGTAGTATGGATTCTTGTTTTGAAAAGTGAGAACTAAGTCAGTAATAGTTATTACGGGATTTGGTTGTGCAAAAGGCTTATGTGTGGCCTAACCTAACCACAAAGAAACTGATAAACACCAGTCCCTTCTATGCCGTAAGACATTATGTTGCGGACAAGTGGTTGTCACTTCGTATATCGATGATCACAGGTTCAAATCCCGGTCCGGACACCACCTGTCCTGATCTTAAGTTTTTCATAGTTTTACTCAGTGCCTTCACAAGAAAGGTGGAGGCAGTACCTTGAATCAGACCATAACTACTTCCTTCCATATCTGTTCTGATTCATTAATGTCATTCAGCATTGTGTGGTCTGAGTTACTGTCATCATCGTTAAATAAACTGCAAACATATTTTGAGAGTAGACTTGCAATAGTCTGTGTCTGATGCATACGCCTGCTGTATCTAAATAGTAATATTAAAATCTTAAGTGGCAATAAATTGCATGCTTGGTTCTTATTCGGAAGGGCCCAGGTTCAGATCTCAGGCTAGAGACTGCCTATACTGACTTGAGTCTTTTTTTGTGGTTTTCTTCAGTCCCTATAAGCAGATGCAAGGATAGTACCATAAATTAGGCTGTGACCACTGCCTTCCATATCCTTTCTCATTTGTTATTCATTGATCATCTTATTATTTAATGCTGTATAAAGCACATAATTAAATAGACCACAAGTAAATAAATAAATATGCTCTTCTGTTCTGACATTGATATGCTATTTGCTGATAGATATTTGTAGCTATTTTTGTGAAAAGGTAAATCAGATGTCATTAATTGTGTTTGGGGATATACTTATATTTTTCAACAAATCTGAATACATTGACAGATAATGTTGTTGTGTGTAAGTTTAGTTCAAGTAATGTTATATCTGTGTGATTAGTAAACACAGATTTTACTGCAAGTTTGGCAGTAGATAGAGTCATACAGGCTCACTCTAAAGGGATTTTAGCTTATGGTCATTCTGTTGTAAAGTTTTTCCTGTTTTTGTTATAAACTGTGATAATGTACAGAAGTCAAACATGATATTTTAGCCTGCCAAACCCACAATACCACTCTAGGTTATGAGCCTGTTTTTGTGCTTCATGTACAGTAGTTAGCTGTTTAGATCAGAATATTAAATAACAATAACATAAAATTTCAAATGTAGACTATACTGTACCTAATTAAGATTGTATTTTTAACAAATCTTGTAGCATGATAAAAATCAAAATTGTGTTTATATTTTATGTGACCACTATCTAGGCCTTATGTTCATTCTGTCATAATGTGACTTCATTACCAATATAGTGAGACAGGTCTGTTAAGTTATGAATTCCTATACAGATTTAAACCAATTATTATGTGACTAAATTATTGGAAAGGCACTGCAAGCTTGTAAAAAGAAGTCATAGCAATTTAAAAAAAGAGCACCATTAATATAAGTGACTGTTGTCAATTTTTGCTTGCCAGGTTGCAAAATCATCTTGTTTGGGACAGACTGCTGTATTTTTCAAGCCCTGGACATTAGGTTAATTGACACTGTTTAACTGAATAGGTTATACAGCATCGATTGAGATGGGAAGAAAATCATGCATGGTGAGTAGATAAGAATTAACAAGGTGGCAGCTATGGCATATTTCATGGTACTGTACTGGCATTCATATGTATTGACTGAGGAAAACCAGGATGTCCATAACCTAGCTGAGATTCAGATATCCGACAAGATTATTGCTGCTGCACCATTTTGATCTGTTTGATATCAATATTGTCAATAATGGCAGTCAGTAATGATTTCGTTTTAGGCAGTTGGGTTTTGTTAAGTCATGACTTCATTGTCATACTGTTGCAAATGTTGGATCCTTCTTCATCATATCTTTTTAACTAAATTTTTGTTCAAAAAGAATTTTTTTTTCATGTTATATCAAACATTTGATGGGGATTAGGACTTGTTTATTTATTTTCCAACATCTTATAGAGGGTTCTTGGTTCATCTCTTAGCCAGGATACTGATTTTCCTGACTGAGGCTTCATGGGCTTCCTCAGTCCTTCTAAGGAAATATCAGTATAGCATCTTAAAATAGGCTTTGGCCAGATCTTTTCCATCTCACATCAGTTTCTCATTTCACATTCAATGCTATATAACCTATGAGTTGATTCAACAGCTTTAAATAACAGTAAAAAGTAAGCAGATAGTGTGCTCTGATCAGTCTTTATTAAGTTTATGAACAAAATGAAAATGAATCAAGTGTGACTATTTGGGACCAGAATTTGTTATACAGCATTAGCAAGAAGCTGGATTGTGTTACTGTCGTTAGATGCCCAACCAACAGACGGGGAGCAGGAGACATTTGAGGAAGTACAGCGTGTGCTGAGAAACTCAGAGCCAATTCTGGAGGAGATACAGTGCTACAAAGGAGCAGGGAGAGAGATCCGAGAAGTGAGTATCACAGGCACAGCTGATTTTGGCTGGAAAACTTTGTGAATGAAAAGCTAAAAGCAAGTTACTAGTCATAGCATTGGTGGTCCATATAAAGTCACTACAGATGAAAGATGAGGGTCACAGCTGTGGTGGTAATGTTGCACAGAGAAAGTTTTCTATTCTGTTTTTGTACCTGTAGAATAGAATTTCAGTTGGTAAATTGGCCATGGTACTTCAACTATGTCTTACAAATATACTTCCACTGCTAATGAGCCTACTCTTTCACTGTTTTCAGTACATTTGTCACTACTATTGCTACTTCTGTTAATGCCATTATCCTGAATTATTGTTTATGAACATTGGGCCAACCTTCCATGCAGTACTTCCAGGGTGCAGTCAAATATGATATGTGCAAAGACTATATAGGTTATGTCTTTTTCTTAGTACTTCCTTGTTTTTCTCATTCACAGCTGAGGCTCTGAACAACTTTTCTCAGCCTTAAGCAACTTGCTTTAAAATAGGTACTGTTTTTTAGTTTCACATGCATCTTGGTAATTGCTGGGACAATACTCTCCTGATCGTAGAAAGTATATGTGTCTCACACTTGATACAGTGTCATTAAATAAGAAATTAATCGTGCTTTTTTCCCCTTAGGCAATCTCCACTCCAACAGAGGAGTTCCAGAAGAAGGCTTGGCAGGCTGTGATGCCGCTTGTCTCCAGGTTGAAGCGATTTTATGAATTCTCTACTGAGCTAGGTGAAACTTCTGTTTTTAATCCAATTCATAACTGAATGTAACCCCACACTTTTGTGATGCTGTTTAATAAACAGTTATTTTATTTTACTTAATGTGAAGACAGTAACTTGGATGTGTAGCCAATATGTGAAGTGATTAGTACCATTGCCCTCTTACATCATGCAGTCTACTGAAACTATATTCTGTAACAGATGCCACTAGAAAGTAGGAAGAAAACAAATACTTTTGGTCTCAGAGGCTGGGAACAACAATTTACATATTTGTGTCCTTAAGTATTTAGGCCAGGAGAGGGTTAAAGCTGGAACTTTTTTTCTACAGAAAATTTTGACTTCCATGATAGGTATTTTGCTATGGGCCAGTGTGCCCTACTTGTAATATCTTCACGATTTTTTATTTTTCTGTTTTTTTTTATTCTTTTGGCTAAAGGTTGTGATTTTTAATTCATTTATGTTCAGTCCTTCATATAAAATGGGTAATGTTAGTGCTTCATGGATCATTTGTTGTTCTACTTACATGTTCTGTACATCTGTTTGCAGAGGTGGTAGTTCCCAAAATTCTGTTCCAGCTATGTTCTGGACCCATGACACCCACACAGCATCTTGAAACTCAACAGGCCCTTGTTAAACAGTTTGCTGAGATTCTTGAATTTGTACTAAAATTTGATGAATACAAGGTATGTTCTTCATTGATATATGACTGTAAATTGTAATAATAAACATTTTTAACTTTGAAGTTTCAGTTTTGATATTCTGGTACTTCTTTCTTGTATACATTCATATTATCAGATTGTTTTCACATTTTTATTTATCTTTGTACTTGAGTGATAATAATGATGACATGTGAAGATAGGTACTGTGTAGAGCCAGACATTATTTTTTCTTATATTTAGTTAAATATCCAACATGAGCTTTCATTTATGTTATTTAATAATCCTTTTGTACAGTGAATTATTTCTCAGAAAAATTTCTTGATTTCAGATTCATGTAGAGATTATATTGGACTGACACAGTGCAAATTACATTAAATCGTAAACTTTTAGTATAAATTCTCATTGCCATACTTTATTGTATCTGTTGAATTCTCACAAAATTTTATTAAGATTATAAAGTCAAAGAGGATGAAATTGGCAGGGTATTTAGCACCAATGTGAGAAAAGGGAAATGCATACAATTTTTTTTTTGGAAGACCTCGGCCTAGATAGGAGGGTAATATTGAAATGAATCCTAAGGAACTGTGGTGGGAGTGTGTGAACTTGATTTATCTGATGCAGGGTAAGGACCAGTAGTAGACTTTTGTGAATATGGTAATGAACTTCTGGGTTCCATAAAAGGTGGAAAATATCTTGAATAGCTGAGCAACTATTAGCTCCTCAAGAAGGACTCTGTTCCATGTAGTTTATTGTTGAGCACAGTGGTTTCTGACAATATGTGATACTAGCACATTAATTTTGCATGCTCTTTGCAAATAACTCACATTAATGTATATGATAATTTGCAAGATATATGTTCAAAATATGATCTCAGTCTCAGTGCTGTCCAAAAGTCCTTGTATTTTAATTCTTTGCCCCAATATGTTCCTAGAGTGACTGAGAAAGGCCATGCAGGTCTTCAATCAGAATGGTCATATGTTGTCTGAGTTTTGGACTTTGTGAATTTGAAGTAGGTGTGCTTCTTTGAGAGATGAACTGTTTGTTTCTGCAGATGAAGACACCAGCTATTCAGAATGACTTTAGCTACTATAGACGCACCATTACAAGGCAACGCATGTCAAGCTACAATGGTTTTGAACACCATGACACAAGAGAAGTGACCAATGAGCTGGCTAACCGCATGTCCCTCTTCTATGCACATGCTACTCCAATGCTGAAAGTTCTCAGTGAGGCCACATCCATGTTTGTCAAAGAGGCAAGTGCAGACTGACATTGCATTCACTGCTGTAACCATATAATGAGTATTGTTATATGATTGTGTTGGTGTTGCTTTACCCTCACTCATATTGGTTGGCAAGCTGATGCAAGGGATGTAAGTTACTTAAGTGTTATAATAAATGACCTAAGAAAGATAAAGTACACTGTGAATGCAGAACATAACAAGCAACTTAATGTTTTATACCTCATACATATTGATGAAAGACTCTCATGTTATGAGCTGTGTCAGGTGACTGAATGGTGAATACACCATATCTTCTGCAGAAGTTGCCGTGAAAGCTTCACCTCACACATATTGTTAGGGTAATCATATGGTGGAGATTAAGAGTGATATGTAGCTCAGATGTGGGAAGGAATATATGCTTATAGAAATTTGGTGGGGAGACCTCTTTGAGAGTGTCAATATAATGAAACTGAGAAGGAAATTGGGAGAAGATATGTTGTGAAGGGTAGCACTAGATTGAATTAGCTCAGGGTCGTGTCCATTAGCATACATTGTTATTAGCAGTATTGAACCTTTGGGTTCTGTTACCAGAGTGTTATTAAATAGTCATCATTTGGATTGTTGGATACCTGTAGGTAGTTTGGGTCATTAGTTATGCATCAGTTGGGATATTGGTTGGTTACTTATTTTTTCACATGGTGGTTAGTAAGAAATTAATTTGTTATTTAGTTACTGGTTCAGTTTGATTCAGCAGTCAGTTAGATGGTCAACTAGTTTCCCAGGCAGTTGGGTTGTTGACATTTATGCCATTACTTGCATCTTTCAGCCCACTCCCAGTACAATGCTGTTCAATAGTCATAAGTTTAAATATTTGCTGTGAAGGAAAGGGCAGAATTGCTGATAAGGTACTATCTATTTATTTGATAACGGATGGTATATACCTGTACAAGGGTTTGTAGAGATTCATGCACAACACTTCTTCAGTAGATGATATTTCTTGCATTGTATTTGCATTCTCTACCATATTTTAATGCTGCTGAAATAGGAAAGTAGACAATTTCCAATAAATTTTGAACCTGATTGCTCATTCAGCAGACCTCAACATTTGAGCATCATTAAATAACTTAATCTCACTTTATGTTATCTTATTCTAAATATACAAAAGATTTCTTTCTAAATGCTTTTGGCTGCTCTGTATCCCATGTTAAAAAAATAGTGATAGTGGAAAATGTTAGTAATGAATTTCAGAGTGAATATAACTTTAATAAGAGGGTACATAAAACCCATTCAGTAGACCACTTGAATTCTGCAATATATATTTGCACAGACATAATTATTATAAGGTGTATTGTTTTTAGCAAACAGTTTAAATACTATGGATTAACATAATTAAAATTCCTTTAAACAGAAGAAACATAGTTCTGACTGGTGACTGATTGATGGTGTTGCTTTTATTTAAATGCATACACTTGAATAGAAATTAGACAAAAATTATAATGCTACATTTCACAAGAATCTGTTTCATTGTTGAAAAGTTATTAGAATAATATGCTTACAGACCTATTCATACCATAAACTTATCTTTGCTTGTCGTATAAAGGAAGTAGAATGAAAACTGGCATTGCTAAGTATTACTTATGGTATCATAAGGACATATGCTATATGGTGGTGAAACATTTCAAAAAATACCTAAATAATATAGAGACATACCTATAAAACCTAAAGTGTGATCACCATATATGTCCACAGTATAAATTAAATGGAATATAGCTTCACTTCTAACTTGGCTGTTTTTTTTTTGTTTTTTTTACCTCCAGAATTCAGACATTCCAATTGAAAATACAACAGAGACTCTAAGTACAATGGCCAAAGTTTGCTTGCGCATGCTGGAGAGTCCGTAAGTAGAATGTGTTTTTTTCATAAGAAACTTATTGAAAAGTCACACAACCCACAAGAAAAATGATGTGATTTTGTTAACTTATTTACTCTGCTTTTTTTGCAACATTGGAATATGATTTATACACAATCACAGAAGATGGTGGAAGTTACATTCCATTCAAGTTTTACAATATAAACTCAGTACTGATCAATTCTTAGCAGCTGTTTCCATCTCATGAAGATGAGTGATGAAGTGCAGTAAAACTTGTTTTAAGACTAGTTCCTGAGTAAGATTTGCATGACATTTTGGTCACCCTATGTTATTCTCTGTGGTACTTTGTATATAATATTTGAAACACTTTTCCAGAAACTTGATTGCTCAGTTCCAGCGAGAGGAAACACAGCTATTTGTACTTCGAGTTATGGTTGGGTTGGTCATCCTGTATGATCACGTTCATCCACAAGGAGCATTTGTTAAGGCTTCCAATGTAGATGTAAGTATACATGTATGATACAGTCTTTGCACTGCTTTATTTTTAAGATGATTCCTTTCTTCTGGAGGTTGTATATTTCAGTCAGCAAAGTGACTGGCTGAATGACCAGGACCAATTACCAGCAGGAGCATGGCACTCTCTTTTCATACAACATTTGGACACTCTTTGGTCCACCCTGGGGGTAAAGAGAATGTATGTTGAATCTTGCATCCATGCCCCTCCACAAGGAAAACTTTACCTTTCTAGGTGTTCCTTACAGTTGTTTATTTTTATGGCTTAATTCCAGGAGAAACAACAAGAAGATTTTTAAATTGAAGTTATGTATGAATTTGATATCAATAATTACAAGTGATAATTGACTGAAGTGGCTGAATTATCTGGTAACAGAACCTGAAGTTCAGCTAGTTATACTAGTGTGAAGGTGATTTGTTCTCTTATGACAGTTTAGCATCCAAAATTTCGCTCTTGTGATTTAAGTGAAACAGGCAATGGCATTTATTGTAACTATTGACATTACTTCATTCCTTTCATTTATGTAAGTTTGGGATTCCTAATGCTAATCCAGTGTCTGAAAACGGTGTAAACTATATTAATTTTTTTAAAATAAGTAGAGTTCAGGTCTAAAACAAGAGTCATCAGAATACACATATTTTCCAAATATGTTCACTGTGGTTTTTGTCTTTGTGTTCCTTTATTGGAGACCCAAATCTGTTTTTCCCAAGTTAATATATATACCATTAAAGAAAATATATTGCTTTCAGATTATCATTTTTGTAACACTTTTGTATTTAATGTCTAATGTTATTCTGTGTTTAGCAAAGGAATGACCAGTTTGGTTAGGTTTTGTTGAGTGTTGATAGCAGCTTGTTCCCCTGAACTTCCAATGTCTCTTATTACCTTGGTCTTGCCAACTGTTGAATTTTTTGAGAAATGTAATCCTGTAATTGACAATGAACTGCTGTATACAGCTGTTTCAGTTTTTGGTTTTCTGGTGACAGGTGAAGGGATGTGTGAAGCTACTAAAGGAACAACCAGCTTCCAGATCTGAAGGACTCCTGAATGCATTGAGGTGAGTTTCTGACATGTCAGTTAGAGAATACTGGTACAAAGTGAAATCATGCAAAACACTGCATCATTTTCATCATCCATTTAATTTTTCAATGAGGGAGAGTCATTTTATGACAAACAAAGCCTTCAATATTATTGTGTCCTCCCATAACCACATCTGTTGTACTTGTACTGTCTTTTCTCTCATTTTTATATCTATCTGTTCCTTACCCTTGATTTTCTTAATGGTGTTTTATCTTGTATCTACATTTTCCAAACTCTCAACAGAACATTATTATTGTCCATTATTATAGCACTGGCATTAATTTGAAAATGGAAACATTACCGAGTTGAAGCTGCTTACAGTAACATGATATTCCAAGAAGTCTTCTAGAACAGTTACAGATCCACCCCTCATTATGCTGTTTTACAAGGTAGTGGACTTTCCTGTAATGAAAGTCTTTTCCACACACTTTGAGTCACTAACATACAGTGTGCAAAAACACTTCAGTTTGAAAACAGTTGCTAGTCTGGTCATGGTAAGGAAGTTAAGTACAACGCAGATACGAGTTTGTACTGCATAGTCACAATCAGTTTAATTTGTCTGACATGGCAAAAAGGGCAGTGTGAAGTGGTGCGTGGAGGGGGGGGGGAGACGTGCCTACAATTACAATATCGTGGTGCAAGCAAGCAAAATATTGCCATCGATTTCTTCCTTTTATGGGGTAAACCCATCAGTTGGCACTGTGTTGATGTGAAACGAAAAGCACCTCTGCTTTAATACCAGTATTGGTGGTAGACAAAATGTGGTGCTATAACAGGGTTTGATTGATGTAACTTTTATTAAGGATTTCTTTTTTGTTCTTTGTAAAACAACATGGAACCTGTACAGAGTCTATATTTTGCATTCAGTGTGATGATGATGGCTTATGAACCATTACAGATATGAAATTTTGTGTGGAGAACATAATTTATGTACAAATTCTAATTGAACTGTTGTTTATGTTAATGGTGTGAAAGTCTGAAATTATATTTGAAAAATATCACATAGTCACAATCTGTAATTGTGGAAATTAAGCACAGAAAATGATCACCAAATATTATAATCATTCATTCATAGTTCTTGCTGTCTTCATCATATAGTCTGAAACATTGATTTGAATAGGCTATCATAAATTCCTCCCAGAACTAATTTCTTAATACTTGGCACTTTTTACGTAGTTTGAGACAGGCACTGAATTGGCTAATTTTATACTGTTGAAATGTTACTGAATGTTTCTTTCAGGTATACAACGAAACATTTGAATGAAGAAGCAACTCCAAAGAATATCAAGAACCTGCTGGCTGCATGAGAGGGGTGTATGTAGGTAGAACAATTTGATGTGGGCTTCAGAAGCCTTGGATCACGTGACACAAAGTGTTTTAATGTTGAGACACATCACTGCCTTAGCGCACGTTTTGTACAGATTATACAAAAGTAGAAAATTGGCAGTTGCAGCAACACAATATTATATTGGCCATTTTTAACAAAAGTAGGCAGTGAGGATAAATGGATAAACCACTATGTTCCATTATAGCTGGCTCAGTTATGAACATGCCCATTATGTAAGCATGTCTAGTATAACATTACCAGTCATTTGTGATGGTGTTTGTTCCTTGATGGATTTATTGGTACAATATTTACATCTATGTCATAAGAAATGAAAATAACAAAAATAATATTCTTGTTGCTGCATTTCCATTTTGTCATCTTTTGCTCACGGACATGTATACTGGCTTTAAAGCACTGTCATATCGTAACTTTAGAGATAAATAATTTATTTGAAATCAGTTTGTTAACTTAAGGATGCTCCAGTTCATTGCCATTGGAATTCTGCATGCATTGCCTTATGTGAGGCATACAAAAGCTGTTGGTATCTTGGAGTAGCAAATAAGTGTTGAAAAATGCAATGATGAAGTAAACATATTGTCAGATATATGTACAGTTACACCAAAGAAATTTATGAAATTTCACATTTTAAGTTCTGTGTTGGACTCTTCATAACAGTTTGGAAATTATAGCCTGTCTCAGTTGAAAATTGCAATTTTAGAATTAAATGAAAAATTGATATTGTCCTGAAGCATGTTAAAATAAAAATAACATGAAGTTGAACCTTAGTCACTCCTTAGTTCAGAAAGTCACATTCCAGTCTAACTTTGGACTGAATCTGACAGTTTTAAAATTTGGATGAAATAAACTGGACTTGATGGGATAAGTAAAAATTAATGACCTCAAAGGATAAAATCTTTACTGATATGTCTTGCAGTTCCAGTAGCTGTAAGAATTAAAGAGTGAAGGTTAAACTGTGATAAAGTTTACAGTTGGTATTTATCAGTGTATACAAGTTCAGTAAAAGGAAAATATGAGTATGTTTAGTCAGTTTAAGGATATCACAAATGCAAAAAATGGGAGAACAACAAAATATCTGACAATGTCTATCCACTTCTGCATTCCTGTTGAAGTTTCAAGAAATAATTTTGGTTTACTGATAAACCACCAGCTACAACTTTTTTGTGTAAACATTAAATGTTGATTTTTGCTATAAATGTTTTGGTTTTCATAGGCTATCTTCAGGGGCCCTACACATACCTTCAATCAGGCATGAAGTTCACATAAATTATAAATTATTAATCTAGTATAGTAATCAATAATTTATGTAAGTGCCATGGCCACTTGACGGTATTGTGAAGTCCCTGAAGATAGCATATTATGGCCAAAACATGTATGGTGATAAGCAGCATTTAATGTTTATTTAACAAAGTTGTCGTATCTCATGGTTTAGTAACCTAGGGGGTCAGTATAAAAATGGAGAAAGTGTAGGAAGTAAAATGTTTTGCATTGTGATACCATCCCTTATCATTAAACATGAATTAATGGAACAGAAAAGTTTCATCTGAGCATTAGCCAGGTCAGATCCTGGCAGGCCTATCAGTATATTCATTATTTGCTCAGTAAAGTCACTAGCAGGAAAAGGTAAAGGTTAAATGTAATAAAATGAAAATAAGGACAAGTTAACTAAAATGAAGAATATCAGAAGAGATCAACACATATCAATATAAAAGGTTCATAATAAACTCATAAATGAACAGTTAATTTGTAATGTGTATGTAATATAAAGATTGATATTTTGGGCTTCAGTATTCATAAATTATATTTTACAAATATAATAAATTCTTCTTGGGCTATCAGCCGTGTAAGGTGGCTTAATGAGAACCGTCTTTGTCCTCAGGACATGAAAGCTTCAGATCATATATTTTACAAAATAACTAACAAAACTTTATGACGGTTTAAGGAAAATGACCAGAATGGAAACAGATTAAGATGGGGACAGCAGTTTAGAAAATATTTTGCAGATACTGAAGGAGGACTACTGTGAGAAATTGAGGAGGAAGAGTTGTGGCAAGGCTGAGATAGATTGAGAGGTCCATTCAAGATGAAGATGTCTTTCAAAGAAGATTAACAACATTATGGTTAATATAATTTATTCCATAGTTACACTCCATCAGTCAACAGACCTGTGTTGTGAAAACTAGGCCAGTATGATTACGAGTACTATTCGTACAATAGTATTTTATAGTACATGCATAATATTCGTGCATATTTGATTGCATGTTGCTATCATGAGTAAGTTCTTGACCTTAAATGAAATTGGCCCTGCCCTAGGGATGGAGAGCAATGTGCTGGAGCATCGTACAGTGTTACTGAGGTGTTACTGTTGAACCAGACATTATTTTGTAGCTGGTATAACTATAATTGTATGCTTTCTTAATTTTCTAGATTTTATATAATAATGGATTGTTCTTTCATCTAGATTTTATTTGCAATTAGAATGACAATATCGACTGTTTTTTGTTGCAAGACTAAGTCATAAATGAATGAAAAGAAAGTATCTTGTCACCTAATATTTTGATGAAATGTTGAACATTTCAATTTTAAAATTTTGTAATATTTGTAGTTTTTAAACTAAAAAAGTGGAGATATTGCAGTGACATATCTGATTAACAACATGTTTTTGTATGAGTGGTGATTCTTTCATTTCTGTAATGATGTGTAGAAGTGTACAACTAGACATACAGTAAAGCCACTTCAGTGTATTTCAGCCACCAGCCCATTGCAAAGCCTTTGACCTATTTATGACTGCATAATACAAAAAAATGTGGACACGCCGAGTGGAATTCAAACCACAACCAAGTGATCAAAGACCATGCACCTTAGATTATTGTGAAACTATCCTACCAATTATGCCTAGGTTTCTCCAGTAAGCATTCTGTATGCATTTCTTATTTATCCCATTAATGCCGTATGCCTAGCCTATCTCATCGATTTAATTACAAATTATGAAGTTTGTAGTCCTTTTTACTTCCTTGTGAACTAGCCGTGCATGTTCTTCCTTCAGATTAACATACCAAATTTCTGATAGCAATCTGGCAAAACCTTACTTTTGGCTTAATAAGACCACAAAAGAACCATTTTATATGAAAGCTTAAAACAGTTAAATTGTTACATACCTGATTTATAGCCATATAGAGTGGATCAAATTAGGTTTATTCTGGAATAATGCTTTATCAGTTATATAGGTTATACACATTCACAATCAGATGGAAAATGATGGGATAAATCTGAGTTATGTATTGAGGATGTGGAAGAAAGCATTTGCCGGGGAAATATAGAAAACCTCAGTTAGGACTGAGATCTGTCTGGATCGTCCCCAAATAAATATCAGGAAAGACAACATACTCATGACAGAAGTTCCTTCACTACTGTTTAATACATTAAAATTTACTGTACATGTGATTAATTTATAAAGTATTTACAATGTATTGGGAGTATGCACTGTAGCAGTCCATTATTGTCATCAGCAAATCATGGTGTAAGATGAACAATTTCAGTTTAAATAGATGAAGTGATTGGTAAAACTAATTTTAAGTGGTGGTAGGCCGAGGTTTGAGGATCAGTTTCCCTGTGTCATCACATGACATATTGAAGTCCCCTAGTACAGTTCTTGTTCGTGCTGTGATGATGGATGGAGCTATAACCCGCTTGTGAACTCCGAGGATAAACAGCACCACTGAAACAGAGCATCCCCTAAACTTTTTTAATCTGTGGCACTCTTTTGGCTTTTGAAGCATTCCATAGAACACAAAACCAAAAATAAAAGTTGAAGTGAAAAATAGGATCACTGATTATGAATATTTCGGCTTCTCTTATCACAGATAATTTGTATACAGGAATCAATCTAGTGTACCTGATCATGATAAACTCCTTCTTTTTCCGGTTTAACAATGTTTATACATTTTCTGGTACCCTTTTACGGGTCCTCAACTTATTTAGTTGGCTTATCTATAGACATTTTTGTAGGACTCCTTGGACGAGGGATTGGCCCATCGCAAGACCTCTACCTGTACACAGGATAGCACAACACAGAAAAATGCAGACAAACATCCATGGCTTGAGTGGGATTCGAACCCACGGTCCCAGCGACTGAGCAGCACAAGGCCCACGCCTCAGACCGCATGGCCACTGAGGACCCCGATAAACTCCTTCTAAAAACATTAATCAATTTGCCAGTTAATGTAAGCCAAATTGTTTAGGAAGGATGAGGATATAAAATAACAAGATGGTAAGAAGAAACTGTTATTACAGAAAATAGTGAAAATGTGTTTTTCCAGCATAACAAGAGTCAATAAATCACTATGACTTTGAATAATACAACTGCTGCATGAGCCTCTAACTCTTGTAATACTGTAATCTCAATTGTTGAATTACCAAGGCAAATGCTAGCAATGGCAAAGAATGGATGGTTCCAGAGAGACTGCATGAAAGACACTGCTGATGTGTGTGGATCAGTCAGCCAGTGCCATGCCCCTACAGCTGTACACACTGATATTACGGCAAGAAGAACTGTAACACAAAGAAGACAACTTGCATGGCATATCAAGGCAATCAACTGATATGATGAATTTATTAATCATATGGTATTTAAATCTGTTGGCCATGTCCTAAGCAAGTGTTGGTATCTTGATTAATGACCATTTATTGTTATGGGATTTCTACCTTACATTTTACCATTATAGAATAGATGTGAATATGAAGACAAAAAGTCTGGAAAACCACAATTTTTTTGGATAACTGGCATGCAGACTGATAATAACCTGAACACTCCTGAATATGAAGCACGGGTTCCAACTACTGCACTGCATTATACAATGATTACCTGCTTGATTATAATGATAATTGATTTAAAACTTCAGACCAGGTACAATGAATCATCTACTTAAGAGTTTTTGTGGCACATAGAACAAATATTCAACCTGGATAAAAGTTCAATTTAAAATACCAACACATTTGATTATGATTTACTTTTTATGTGATTAAACTGATGCAATAAAATGAAATTACAGTTAATTGTGATCATAGTATTATTAATTCATACTGAGGTCTTGGACTGCTCCCTTCTCAGCCTTCTATGTCAACATAATAACCACTTATACTTTCATCTTACTTCTCCATCTATTTGTAGAAGGTTGTAGACACCCTATAACTTCTGTAAGACGTCGTTCGAACGCCTTTAAGTCTAAAAAGAAGAAATTTATAAGAAACATTAATAGTGACTGGGAAGGACAATTAGTGAATTAAAAATATGGGATGCATTGTTTACATTCAGTAACTATTTCAAAAGTGAACACACACTCAAAACATGCATAATCCAAAATCTGTAACCATATAATTCTCAGAGGCCAAACTTCGATTGTTCACAACTAAATGCATATTCGTCACAGATCAATCCTAACCTTCACACGCAGTTTGCTCCAATGACATACTGAATTTCACAGCTCTAGTGTATATTTTTAGAGCCTAACAATTATTTTAAATATAAAAATTAATATATGTTTTATCTCGTCAGCAATCTAACGTCATTTTTCTTATATCTAAGAAAACTAGCATTGAGCTCAATACACTTCATACCGACTTTTATAACCAAAGATGGTACATGCACAGATGTATTAAGTGTTTATGCTCTCGCGAATTTCTTGCACGTTATTCTCTGCTTCTGAAGCTGAAAATGAAAATTTAATCTTTATTTTTCCAGTTAGAATTAACATCTTTGTGAACAGAACTGTTGTACTTTCGTAACACTTCTGAGCTAATGCAATTTTGTTGTAATACTTTTCCTTTTTTCACGTATGGTTTTAGGCAATCACGTGGTTCTGATATAGATTATAGATTAAATCTATGGATTAAATTGTCCGTTTCATATGCGTTATATACGTGAATAACGTATGCCTGATTATTTTATTGTCACAGTTTTATTTTGTAAATAATAATTAGTGCTGTGAAGTGTTTTCATATTTTAGAAGTAAAAATTTATTTCATATTATAAAATGAAAATGTGTGTGAAAAACTCGTTTCCATTTTATAGCAGCCTTTATTTATGTTGCGTATGTTTAGTTTTCGTAATTTATTTTGCAAGTTCTTTGTCTCGTGCATCTGATTACCTTCCTCGAAAGGTACTAAAATGTCATGGACATTGGGTCGAGTCTCAGGATGAGAAAATAGGCGAAGGACTCGTTGAGAGTTCATTTCCATATGAACCATATGCAGGTCACAGTGTTATAATAAGTAAACGGTCTAGTGAAAAAATTGACACTAATAGTACGAAAAATAAAAGGATACAGAAAAATGAAC